AGGTTCAACCCAGGAACCAGGAGGGCATGGTTGGATTCCTTGTCAGGGCACATGCCTGGGTTTCTGGCTCAATTCCTAATAGGGGGCATGCAGGAGGCAGCCAATCAATTATTCTCTCTCATCATTGATGTCCTTTCCTCTCTCTCTCTAAAAATCAATAAAGACATATTTTTTTGTAAAAAAAAATTGGGGCCCTCAGTTGACCAAAGGAAGTCCAATCTCAGCAAATAAATTCCTTTCCAGGGTTCACCTCAAACGAATGTTAATTCTCTGGGTCCACAGTATTAATATTTTTTCTGGGTATGCAGAGTATGTGAGGTGCTCCTGTCAGCAAATCACTGGCTCTCTTTTTTTTAATTAAATCTTTATTGTTGAAAGTATTGCATATGTCCCTCCCCCCACTGACCTCTTCTAGCCCACCCCACCCCAGCTCTTCACCCCCTTATTGGCTGTGTCCATAGGTTATCATATATGCATACAAATTCTTTGGTTGATCACTTTCCACCCACCCTCCCCTGTCTTCCCTCTGGCTCTTACTATTTATAAAATTTGGACCCTCGGCCTGGTCGGTGTTGCTCAGTGATTGAGCTTCAACCCAGGAACCAGGAGGTCATGGTTGGATTCCTTGTCAGGGCACATGCCTGGGTTTCTGGCTCAATTCCTAATAGGGGGCATGCAGGAGGCAGCCAATCAATTATTCTCTCTCATCATTGATGTCCTTTCCTCTCTCTCTCTAAAAATCAATAAAGACATATTTAAAAAAAATAAATATGAGTATATTAAAATGAGGAGCAATGGTGTTTTGAGGTATAACATCAAAAGTTAGGAGCAAAATGAAACAATGAAATTTAATGGGCTTCAAATAAAGAAAACAGAGTAATATATTTTATTGATTTTCTACAGAGAGGAAGGGAGAGGGATAGAGAGTTAGAAACATCGATGAGAGAGAAACATTGATCAGCTGCCTCCTGCACACCCCCTACTGGGGATATGCCTGCAACCAAGGCACATGCCCCTGACTGGAACCGAACCTGGGACCCTTCAGGCTGACACTCTATCCACTGAGCCAAACCGGCTATGGCCACAGTGTTAATATTTAATGGCTAGAACAGCATCAATTTTTTATTGACATTCATCTACTTGATAGAGCTGTTTACATTCTAACTGTAGGGGTTCAGAATGAGTCACCCCAACATGTGTCACTCTGGCACACAGATTATTTCAAGCTGAAAACTATTAAAACTCAGACAGCTCAGGAAAAACTTTTGATCTTCCTGCTGTAGGCAGTTAGACAAATAGGAGCAGAGCAAGGATGCTGGGCCAGGTACAGAAGGTCACGGGGTGGAAAGCTCCGTTTGACTAGCAACAGACAATCAATTGTAGGGTGAGACCTTGCCTCCAGGGTGACTTTTCCTCCCCTATCACTGGTCACGTGGTTTGGACCCCCTGACCTTTCCTCCCTATGCCTCTGTATTTCTGCTCCAGGCCAAGATAAGCAATAAAATCAGCCATGGCTGACATTAAGACCAGCTGCATTGAATAATGACCCACTGCCCTGGTGCAGGCCAATCAGTCAGTGTGATAAGGAGAACGGTGAGCCAAGGTGTTTTCCCCGGGGTTGTGTCTTGTGACGCTGAAGAATGACCTACGAGGACTGTGCTGCGCTGCATATCTGGAGCTTTGGCCAGATGGGTCATGCTGTACTCTCTGTCCTAGAACATAAAGATAGGAAGGTACTGACATCAGGCCAGGCCTTGAGATATGGTCTCATGGCCCCTTCCCAGCACACAGGCCTTCTTTCTCAGAAGGCCCAGAAGTCTCATTCCAAAGGACTGGAAACAAAGGACTGGGAAAAGTATAAATAAAGAGAGTTTCCTCCATATGGGGGACCCAGAATTTGAAAGATACATTTTTCTCTGGGCCTCCACAGAATTTAATAATAAAATGTAACTCTTGTAGTCTGCGCTGCAGTTCAGCCTCTGCTTCCAGGAAGAGAGCTATCATCACAGATGACTATATCCTATATAATAAAAGCCTAATATGCTAAGTGTCTGGTCATCCAGTAGACAGTTCAACCAATCAAAGTATAATATGCTAATGATATGCTAAGGCCACTCAACTGCTCCCTATGATGTGCACTGACCACCAGGGGGCAGAAGCTCTGACCAGTAGGTTAGCTTGCTGCTGGGGTCCGGCAGATCAGAACTGAGCAAGATGGGCTGGACATGCCCTGGAGCCCTCCCACGGTCCCGCCAACCTCCCACATCCCTCTCTGGCCCGATTGTGCACTGGTGGGGTCCCTCAGCCTGGCCTGTGCCCTCTCCCAATCTGGGACCCCTCACAGGATGTCAGAGAGCCAGTTTTGGCCCAATCCCGCAGGCCAGGCCGAGGGACCCCACTGGTGCGTGAATTCGTGCACCAGGCCTCTAGTTTTAATATAAACTAGATGTAATTGACAGGAGGAACCTAGCAAAGTGTCTTCTTTGTGACCCACCGTTTCAAGATGGCTCAATATCATAAACAATAACTCTTTTCATCTCCCTGTGAATTGCCTTATTTCTCCCTCCTTACCTCTGAGTGGCATATATATCTCATTTTGCTTTATGTCTTTGAAATTTTCATACTTATGTAAATTTCCCATGTGCATTTATTAAAGCTTGATTCTTGCCCAGCCAGCGTGGCTCAGTGGTTGAACGCTGACCTATGAACCAGGAGGTCACGGTTCGGTTCCTGGTCAGGGCAAATGCCTGGGTTGCAGGCTTGATCCCCAGTGTAGGGTGTGCAGAAGTTATCTGATCAATGAATCGCTCTCATCATTGATGTTTCTATCTCTCCCTCTCTCTTCCACTCTAAAGTCAATAAAAATATATTTTAAAAAATATTTGAGTTGCAAATCTGCAGATATGTTGACCACAGAAACAGTGTTGTCACGCTAAAGATAACATCTTAACTTCAATTGTGTTTCAACCACAGGCCTATGAAAGCTAACCAACCCTGCTGATCACATATTCCCAAGCCAGACAGAACCGTGCCCTGCTTGACATGTACAGTGATCAACTACTCCCTACCCTGGCCCCAACCAATCAATTGAGACTACACTACAACTCCTTTAGTCACCATGATGAATGATTTCCCCCTATATAACCCATCCTCAGGAAGCCATCGGGAAGCCAGGTTTTTGAGCACTATTTTACTTATTAGTTGAGGAAATGGCTTGGAGCCCTTACTTTCTTGGCTGCAAACTCCTGTTCCTCTTTGATTGGTCTTTGATGCATGTAGGCAAACAGACTCCTTTGGTCTGGTAACACCAGCCAGAAAAACTAAGAGAGAAAGAGAAAAGTTTCCCCATCCCCAACATAAACAATACATATGTTTGCCATAGGACTCAATACAACTATTTTTTATTTTGTTCTTTTGGTTTTTAAAATAAAGCCTCTAATTATTATGATGCAGCCTGAACTGGTTCTCATGAGAAAAAATTTATTTTGCACACCAATAAAATATACTCTATTGCCTCAGAAATACTAGTTAAAGCTATAAAAATGAATGGCTTCACTTTTCAAAGAAAGAGCTTTGTTCACACATCTATTGCTTTTTTAAAAATTCCTTTGTTGTTTCAGTAAATTTATGACATCTCATAAACAGACACTAAGGGGGTCTCTCTCTTTTTTTTCTTTTCCCTTTCTTTGCCAGGCTAATTCTGAAAGGGAGTGGGTAAAAGGAGATCATTGTACTTTCCCTGGTCCCTGCCCTAAGCGTGGAGGGTCCTTCTCGAACACTCTTCCATACAGGGCCATGACTAAGATAGGCAAAGGGGCTCCACTTCTGCTCTGCAATCGTCCATCTCTTGAAACCTGATCAAAGAAAGCAAAGGATTAATCCCCAGGCAGAGCTTGGTTTCCAGCCCACGTGCCTTTCTGACAACACTCTAAAAGCAGCATAAAATAGCAAAGTCATGCAGGATTCGGTGTCAGAAGACACACGTTTCAGATCCAGAGGTCTAATAGCAAAGGAACCTTGGGTGAAAATGTAGCAAATAAATCTATTGTACAGGAGTTAAATAAGATAATGTATAAAGAAGAGTTCTTTTAACTCATGAAACACTATAGAAAGTATTAATTATTACTATCATTATTACAACTTCTCAAAAGGACACACCCACAAAGTAAGTTGTGAAATTGGAGGCAAAGAAATGTAGACTTGGAGAAGTCTGGAGCTAACTCCCTCTCTGCAGGCTCAAGATCAACCATCCCACATAGGGGGGAAAAAAAAAAAAGAGAGAGAGAGAGACAGAGAGAGAGAGAGAGAGAGAGAGAGAGAGAGAGAGAGAGAGAGAGAGAGAGAGAGAGAGAGAGAGAGAGAGAGAGAGAGAGAGAGAGAGAGAGAGAGAGAGAGAGAGAGAGAGAGAGAGAGAGAGAGAGAGAGAGAGAGAGAGAGAGAGAGAGAGAGAGAGAGAGAGAGAGAGAGAGAGAGAAAGGAAGGAGGGAAGGAAGGAAGGAAGGAAGAAAGAAAGAAAGAAAGAAAGAAAGTAAGTTGTGGGCGCCTTATTTAATGGACCTTCTACACCATGCAAA